TTAATCTGAGGACCTGCTGGCCAAGCCTGGCGGATCCTCGTTCTGCTGTGATTGGCCAGCATCAGCTTGCTCTGGATGGCATTTTAAAATATGCGTATTTATTGTCTTTCCTGCTTACATAAGTAATGTACTTTAAAAAAAAATCAGATATGCAGACATCCTGAGTTCTTGGACTTTTTAAAAAATAATGACTACTGTTAACTCTGCGGGCCCCAGGTCGAGAGGCCGCAGAGTCACGCAAGTGGTGCGGGACTTCCTCCATGCCCAGAAGGTGCAACCCCTGGTGGAGCTCTTCGTGGACTGGCTGGCCGTGGGCCACGTGGATGAGTTTCTGACCTTCGTCCCTGCCCCTGATAGGAAGGTAGAGACTTGGGCAATGCCCCCCCAAGCACCACGTCTGGGGCAGGGGCTGAGCTGGGGGCTGACGCCAGGCGGAGAGCTCAGTGGATTCTGTTCTCTGCACACAGGGCTTCCGGATGCTCCTGGCCAGCCCTGGCGCCTGCTTCAAGCTCTTCCAGGAAAAGCAGAAATGGGGCCACGGCAAGGCCCTCCTATTTGAAGGGGTTGTCGGTGGGTAACAGCGCCTCGTTGTAGCTTGCCTGCCCCCTCATCTAAATTCAGACACATCACGGCTTGAGAGGGATGGCACATTTCAAAGCAGGGCTATTCCCAAATTTAGGGCCGCTCTCCCCCGCCGCTGCGCGCATGCTCCCCCAGCCACCTGCCTGTGTGAGGGCAGAGCTGAAGCAGGGAGCAGGGTGGTGGGCCGGAGTCCGGGGCCAGTGTGGCCAGGAGAAGGACATGGCCGGCTTCTTAGGCATGCTACCCGCGCAGGCATACCGGCCTCTGCTTCGAAGGACCTGGAGCATGGACTTGACCTGTGGTCACTGCCTCAACAATCTCATAATCCGTGCTTTGTATGGGAAGTTTGACAGGTCGATGGAGAATCTGCTGGAGGCTTGGAGTCTCTGCTCATGAATGGGCTCGCATCTGGGGGGCAGCCTGGTAGAGGCCAGCCTCTCGTCGTCCCCTGCTCATCTCTGACACAGAGGCCACAATACCCTGGAGAATGCCTGCTCACCATGGTTTGGGGTGGGGGCCTGTGGGAAGAGCAGATGCCTACGTCAACATGGGGCAGTTTGTGGGCCCCACACAGGTGAGGCCTGGCCGCTGCTGGGCTGTGCACATGCGTCTCCAGGCACCTGTAAGGGTGTGCCCTGCCTCACGCCCATCCCTAGCCAGAGGGAGCACAGTGCAAATAGCAAATAACACACCCAGAGAGGTCAGGAGAGAGGTCCCATCAGGCAGGCAAGAAACCTCTGTGGCCCTGCAGTCACCTCCTGGAGGGCCACATCAGCTCCTGAGGTGTCTGCATCTAGCTGGTTTGCTGCTCAGCGGACCTGCAAAGGCAAGCGGGTGGGTGGGCAGCAATTGATCCAGCCCTACACCAGCCACATGAAGAGGATTCACCACCCCTGCCCTTGGGTAGCTATAAATTTCCGATTAAAGGCATCTCCATTTCCCGTGAGCCCAAATAAAGGTCTGCATTTCACTACAAGCAATGAGAGCCACTCATCCCCCAACCCCCAGGGTTGCACAGTGGCCAAGCCAAGCTCTGACAGGTGGGGCCTCCCCAAGGTCAGGACAGTGAGAGCCCTGACTTAGCAGGACCAGCAGCTTCCCACAGCAGGCAGCCACCGTGCTGGCACCATCCTGCCCCTGCTTGGTTTCTCTTTCCTTCACAGGTGACGAGCGAGTAACGACCATCTCCATTAACCAAGTCCTCTCCAACAAAAACCTCATCAGCTATAATAAGTTTGTGCAGGTACGCCGTGGGCTGTGAGGGAGGGGAGGCAGGGCTGGGGATAGGCATGGGGGCTGGGAGCTGAGGCTCACAGCTCACGAAAACTCAGGTTGGATCAGGCCCAGACAGATGCAAAGTAGGCAGTTAGAAGTCCGAGCTCGGGAAAGAGACAGTGTTATAAAGAGGTCAGGAGAGAGAAATTCGGTGTTGGGACCAGCAGCTGGCACAATGCCGCTGGACTCCCATGTTCGAGTCCCGGACCTGGTGGCTTAAACTTATGCCAGGCACATGTGTGTGTGTACCCAAGAGCCCAAGAGAAGAATGGAGGAGAAGGAATTGTGGCGTGGCCATCCCCCCTGGGGGGTGGTTTCTTGCTTTCTGTCTTTCTGTCTCTCTCTGTCTTTCTGTCGAGCGCACACAACCTATAGCAAAATCCTCTCCAAAACTCAAAAAAAAAAAAAAAGAAAAAAGAAATTCGGTGTTTAAACTGTGAGATTGAGTGAGGTCCCCTCAGCAGTGAGAGATCTAGAGAAGAGGGTTGAGGATGGAACATTTTAGCTCTCACTCTATTAGCGGAACAGGACTGTGGGAGTGTGTAATAACACATTTTGACGAAGGGGCACAAAGATAAGGCTTGTGTGGACACTTGCTCTGTGGGCCCTTGGGCATCCTGCCTTTCCTGTGAGTCCCCCCAGCACACACTGGCAAGGTCTCCCCAATTCTCCGTCTCTCCCTAGGGCTGCATCGACTGGAACCGCGAGGTGCTGAAGCGGGAGCTGGGCCTGGCTGACCGCGACATCATCGACGTCCCCCAGCTCTTCAAGTCCGAGAGGAAAAAGGCAGTGGCCTTCTTCCCGGACTTGGTAAGGTCACCCCCACAACCTAGATTGTCATCAGTTAGACTCCAAGTCTCCAGAACTCAGAGGGGAAGACGGTTAAAGTTGGTTTGGGATCGTGGTAGCCGGTGGGTGCTGGGGAGAACCAGGGATCTCATGGTGCCCAGGGACTAGCCATCATGGTCCCTGTGGAATGCTCTCTGGCCAAGTCCTGGCTCAAGGGCCATTGGGGACGTGACCTCCTTGATGTTTGCCACATGACTGTCTGAGGCCACGTGTGCAAAGCGCATGGCATGGCTGGGAAGTCAGGGCCCCGTGCAGCTCCCTCCCTCCCAGGTCTGGCCATCCATTCATCCTGGACATGTTCAGGTGCCTCGAGGGACACAGAGATGACCAAGGCCCCTGCTCTTAAGGAGCGTCCCATCTATTCTGTTGCAAGGGAAGTTCTGTCACCTGAGGACATGTCCCGGTGCTCTACGCTGTATGACATACTGATGTAGCAGTCTGGAGGTGGAACCGAGCACTTCCAGCCTGTGAGGCAGGACTGGAGAGCCAAGAAGGCATCACTGAAAGAAGTGGCCCTCGACTGAGCCTTGAGGGCTTTGCCTCTGGTGCTTCTAAAACATAAACTTCCACCCAAAACTCCGGACACTGGAGCCTACACCCGGACAGTGGGGCCCACACCGGGGCAGCCGAGGCACTGCTGCCTCTTGAACAAGAGAGCACCAGGTGGCGCCGAGGCTGCCCGACTGAGGACCGCAGTCTGAGTAGCGCTGCTGGGTTACCTGGCTGCCCTCCAGTCCCCTCCCTCCACCCCCCCAGAGGAACTCTACTGGCCTGTTATCAGAGCCCTGTGGGCAGCCTGTCCACACCATGGTTGCTTCACCCCCACCCCTCCTTCCTTCCCCTCTCTGGCTAACTTTTGGCCTTCTACTTGCAAAACCTCTCATCACTCCCCTTCCTTCCTTTATGTTTGAGGCAGCCTTGCAATTAGGTATGAGCGCTCAGAAGCTTGTGCAAGGGATCAGGCTCTTCTGCTTGCAGAAAACAGAGGCCTACCCAAGCTGGCTTCAGCCAGAGAAAGATTTAAGATAAGGGTGCTGCAATACCTGAGGGCAGGCGTAGCTGCAGCAGGGCCACAGGAAAGCCTGGAACCACTTCTTGTCTCTGTGTCTACATCATGCTTTGTCTCTCTCCCCTTCCCTCCTCCTTCCCACCTTCCTCTCCTCCCCAACTTGGCTTCCTTTGCTGCTTTGTCCCTGGGGACAGATATGAATATGGCCCTACGCTATAGATACTAACACCGGCAGAGACTGACCAGACTCTCACGGTGTCAACATCAAAGTCCTAGGAGTGAGAATCTGATTGGTCCATCTTAGGTCAGCTGTCCATGAGGCCCAGCGAGCTATGGTCTAGGAGACTGGGATACTGGCACAAACCTGGCAGCTGCCACGATCCTCCAGTAGTGAGGAGGTGTCCCTCTGAGCTCTATAGATGCTACAGACACCTGGCTAAAGAGCTCCTGCCAGCCCTGGTCCCCTCCCACTGCACAGTGGCTACTTTCAAGGTGGCCAGAAAGACAAACCCAGGTCCTGCCAGAGATGGCGGTGTCGGGTAGAAGCCAACGGCGAAGTGTTGCCTCCCCTCGAATTGCAGGTGAACATGCTGGTGCTGGGCACGCACCTGGGCATCCCCAAGCCCTTCGGGCCCATCATCAACGGCCGCTGCTGCCTGGAGGAGCAGGTGCGCTCCCTGCTGGAGCCGCTGGGCCTCCACTGCACCTTCATCGACGACTTCACCCCGTACCACATGCTGCACGGGGAGGTGCACTGTGGCACCAACGTGCGCCGGCAGCCCTTCGCCTTCAAGTGGTGGAACATGGTGCCCTGAGCCCGCTCCCGCCCGCCATCGTCCCCTCGGGGTGGGACCTCGGCCTGGGTGATGGAGACTGAAACCAACCCCGGAACCGTAGGCTTCCAGAAACTCCAAGGTCCCTGATGGAACACTGAGGGTGACCTGCTCCTCTTGGAAGCCTTTTTCCTAGAAGTGTCCACACCTCACCTGCAACCTACTTGGTTCTCAGACTCGAATCTCCTTGGCCTCCCAAAGAAAAGGACTTCAGTTCTCATGGCTTTACATGTGGGTCAACATGACCCATGACCCATGGACACACCACCAAAACCCCCTTCAGACGACTCCACCAAGTCCTCTATTAGAGAGCAAGCTCACTCGGGCCAGGGACACGCGTGCCTCCCACCAGCCTCGGTCTGTGTGTCCCAGCAGAGGAAGGACCCGGATTCGGCTTTGGTCTGATCGTCTCCTCTTCTGTGGAGAGCACTCCACATGGAACAGCAGAGGTTCTGCCTCACCCACGGGGAGTCCGTTTAGGTCAAGGTGGGCCATCATTCCCGCTGCCCAGCTCCTGGCCAGATGTTGAACTCTGCACTCCCACCCAGCACCACACATGAGCTTTTCCACAGCAGGGGCTTCTAGTTGCTGACAGGTGGCAGTGATTGCCTGTGAGCTCCCCACCGCCCAGCATTCGGCAGTCCTCCCAGAACTTCTTAGAGATGAAAGTGTCTGGGCGAGTGTTGGGCATTGGGACGACTAGGTGTAAGGACGAATAGTGTCTTCCGTGATGCACAAGTGCTGTCCCCGGTGATCCTATCTCTGGTGAAGGAGGCTCTGCTGGCCCTGGGACTCTCTTTCCAGAGAAGCTACCCCTGCTGAGTGGGTCTTAAGCCTTCTGTTGACCTCTGGTCAGCATGTCCACATCCTCTCCTGCAGGAGAGGGGGTCCAGTGAAGCCAGACCACCGAGTCAGCTGCAAGTGGAACAACTTTGGGAGCGAACCATTTTGAATGCAGGGGGGTGGGGAATGAGTTCATTTTCTCAAGCTGTGTGTTCTGATGGGCCCAGCTATATTTCTGTGATTGACTAATAAATCAACAGAAACACCAATGGCTTGGGTCCAATTTTGGCCCTTTGGGCTTAGAATGAGACAACCAGAAGAAAGGAGTTTCTTGCAGCTAAAGCATTTATTTGCAGGCATTCTCCCACCCCCACTCCATGAATTTGGGGCTGACAAGGCTAGATTGGGATTAACTAATTGAGACTAACTAAGACTGTTTGCTTCACTTGGCCACAGGACAAGTTAGGCAGCCATGGACAGCTGTGATGATCTGGGTGCAGAAAAGCAAGCCCTGGGTAAGATGCCAGGCTGCTGGACTGACTGGGTACGGCAGGGGCAGAGGCCAGACTGGGCCCAGAGGTCGCAATGTGGGTGGAACAATGGGGAAGCCAAGATACGTGGGAGCAGGGGGAGGCCTGTTGCACACCCAGCAGCACCCTCCTTCCTCACGGAGAGGCCCCAGGCAGCCCTTCTGCAGTGCATGGGGGAGCCACCCCCTCCACCACCCCTCCAGGCTCCTTTTCCTCTTCTGAGGTGCAAACCATGGACATGCATTCAAGCTGGCCCTAGGGCTGGGCTGCTTCTGGCTGGTGAGAGATGATACAGGCTTCTCCACTCCTGCCTCCTGGCCACAGCTCATGTAGGGTCTCTGGAACAAATTCTCAGTGCTTCCTCGCAAGCCCAGATTTCGACAAAATAAGCTCCCCTACTCTACCACCCTAAGGAATGCTGACAACAAGGAGGATGCTTAGAAAATCATATTTTTCTAAAGGGTTTGGGTGGGAAATGGGACTCTCAGAAGGCCAGTGCCTGTGATGGAGAATGGGAATAAGTTTCCCAGCTGGTCTTTCATAGCCCTGATGCCCCGCCTTGGCTGCAGGGCTCTGGGTGGACCCAACACAAAGCCCTAGCAACTTTCTGCCTGTCTAGTTTGCCTCCTGTGCACCAGGCTGGTGTGGGTGGGGCAGCTGGGTAGTGAAAACCCAGCCTGATGCAGACCAGAAGCGCAACAATGTGAACATGTTAGCTACCTATCCACACAGCAGGACATAGCACACGGGGCCTGTGCGCATAGCACGTGGCCTTCCTACGGTGCTAAAACCGCACAGATTTATCATCTTGCAGTTCTGGGGGTTGGAAGTATGATATGGATTTCTGCAACACACACTGGCAAGGCTTCCCCACTGGGCTAAAGTCAAGGTGTCAGGAGGGCTGGCTCTTGCTGGAGGCTGGAGGTGGTGGTGGGGGGGGTAGTCTGTTTCCTTGCCTATTCCAGCTTCTAGAGCTGCCTGTGTTCCTGGCTGGTGGCCTCGTCCTCCATCCTCAAGCCAGCAGTGGAGCATCTTCAAAGATCTCACTCACTGTCCTGCCTCCCTGGTCCACTTGTGAGGACTCTGAGATGACCCTGGGCCACCCTGGACAAGCCAGGCTGCTCCACTATCTCCAGGTCAGCTAACTAGTAATCTTGATCCAGGGCAACCTTACTATCTCCTTGCCATGAAGCTAATGTATTCCAAGGCCTGGGACATGGATATCTTTAGGGGCCACTGTTTTGTCCACCAAGGTCAACTTGACCCTGACTGACCTTTCTTGCGTCCATGAGTTAGGCCACTTGTGACCACTCCCCACCCAATTCAGTTTGGCTTCTTGACAAGTTTCACCAAGTTAGCAGGAAAAGATGCATTCAAGGGGACCCCCTCGGGTGCTTGGTGGCTTGGTGATGGCACCTAGTGAGTACTCAGTAAACGATGCCTGTTGTTATGTAACCTCCCCAGGCCCGCCTCAAGGAACTCTACTTCCTGAATTCGAATCTGGAGACCCAGGGTTTAGATGTGGGAGGTAGGGGAACAAGGTCTGTCCTGGCAAGTCTCAGATCATGTCCTGATGGTCTCAGCCCAGATGGGAAGCCAGAACCTGTCTTTGCTATGGGGATTCACAGCTCTGGGCTGTCCTGACTCATGCTTTAATCAGAATTAGGAATAAGTAACTGCAGGGCTAGGGCAGGAGGTTGCCCAACCCTGCGGCCTCCTGTGATCTCCAGCAGCCCTTGAGAGAAGGAAGGACAGGTGGCTCCGGGGGAAGATGGGCCAGAGAGGAATTCTGGATGACTGGACAGAGACCGCAGGCACTGGTATTTTCTGCAAAGTTGGTGTCATCCCAAACCCCCCAGTGCGTGATGATGGTAGACATGAGCAATGTGGAGGCGTGTGGGACACTTAAAGGCATCATCTATTTACCCTGCACAACACGCTAACCGCCAGTTATTGCCTCACTTCACAGGTGAGGAAACCGAGGCACCCAGAGAGGAAGAGCCTGGGCAGCTCACATGGCCACTGAGTGGGGCAGACAGGTTTGAGCTTAGCCAGGTGATCTCTGTACGTGTGTTCTTTACCAGCAACACCAGTGGTTCTCCACCTGTCTAGACCTCAGAATCATCTGGAAGGCTTTTGAAAACTAGCAAGGCAAGGGCCCCACCCCAGAGATGCCGTCTAGACATTGGATGTTGCACAAAACAGCCTGGAAATTCTGACATACAACCAAAGTAGAGCACGGTGCCCCGCTTAGGAGGATGGTCTCGGACCATTGCTGTGTTGTTGACAGAAGTACCCGAGATCGGTGAATGTACAAGAATAGGAGTTTATTTTGACTCCCAGTTCTAGTGACTAGAAAGTCCAAAGCCATCACAAAATGGTGGAAGGCAGAATTTCAGCAGAGCAGAGAATGGGCTGTGTCCATGTGGTGGCCCTCTGTCTCGGTTTCCTCCCTTTACAGACCCGTCAGAATTCAATCACTGGGCCCTGCCCTAATGACATTATCACACCTAAAACCCCTACCCCCCAGCAACAAAGGAAGCCATTGAGTTTTCGTTTAACAACACAATCAGATCCAAACACGTGGATTTTGAGGATATATCCAAATCCAAGGCATAAAACTTTGGGGTAATAGTATTCCATAAAGTATGAGGAATAATGAAACCCTATTTTTTTTTTCTGAGAGGTTTTCACTATAGGGCGCGTGCGCTCGCCAGACTGAGAGAGACATAGAGACAGAAAGCGAGAAATCACCCCCCAGGGAGGATGGTCACGCCGCAATCCCTTCTCCTCCATTGTCCTCTTGGGATCTTGGGCACGCACGCACGCACACGCACCTGGCGTGAGTTTTAAGCCACCAGGTCCGGGACGCGAACCGCGGTCAACTGCATGGGAGTCCAGTGACATAGCCATTACGCTAACTGCTGGTTTCCTGAAACCTTATTATTTGACAAACTGGGTGAAGATAGAAGATTTAGTGCTATCTGAGGTAAGCCAGACTATGAAAGACAAACACTGTATATCCCTGTTCAATATATACCTAACATCTACATTCTGTGACAGAAATGTAACGATCCAAAGATATACGGTAGGGAGGACAAGTGTAGATAGAAGAGACTGTAGAAGAGCATAATGGGGGATAGGTGGGAGGGACAAAGTGAAGAAACACTTAATAGACATAAGGATGTACAGCTCCCTGATGAGAATGACGTATTTGGTAATATCACTACTGCAGGCACACTGAAAAACCATACTGTGTGCTAGAGATGCCCAGCAATTAAATGTGGATAAGAAATCCTAAAATAGGGACCAGCAGTTAGTGTAATGGCTATGTTGCTGGACTCCCATGTAGTCGACTGCGGTTCGAGTTTTGGACCCCATGGCTTAAATTCGTGCCAGGTGCATGTGTGTGCATGCCCAAGATCCTGAGAGAATGGAGTAGAAAGGATTACGGTGTGGCCAACCCCCCGGGGAGTGATTTCTTGCTTTCTGGCGAGCGTACACACCCTATAGCAAAAAACTCTCAAAAAAAAGGAAAAGAAAAAGAAAAACTGAGGAACCAACTATTATCAGGACTAGAACAAGGATCTAAATTGTCATCATAAGCATCTCTGGCTGTCTCTTGCCCACCTGGGTGTCCCTCCTGCCAACCTCTACTCTAGACTCAGAAGCTGCAGGGACTGTGGGCTACTTTTTCTGGTTACCTCTAATAAGCAGACAGCAACATGCAAACAGTCTTGCTGGGGCAGTGGTTCTTAGACTTGGCACATGCAAGACTTCCTTGAAGAGTACATTAAAATGCAGATTCTGGGGCTCCCTCTCCAGCCAGGCCTTCTTAGGCCAAACTCCTGGGCCTAGGACTCTGCATTATACAGCTTCCCAGATGGTGCTGGTGCACACCTCAGTTAAAACATCCCAACTGTTTCTTGTTTGTTGTGGCAAAAAATTCTGGAAACCATGAATGTTTCTTTTTTTTTTTTTGGAGAGATTTTTGCTATAGGGCGCGTGCGCTCGCCAGACAGACAAAGAGAGACATAGAGACAGAAAGCGAGAAATCACCCCCCAGGGGGGATGGCCACGCCGCAATCCCTTCTCCTCCATTCTCCTCTCGAGATCTTGGGCACGTACGCACACGCACCCGGTGTGAGTTTTAAGCCACCAGGTCTGGGACGCGAACCGCGGTCGACTATGTGGAAGTCCAGCAACATAACCATTACGCCAACTGCTGGTTCCCGGAAACCGTGAGTGTTTATCAAGGGAGTATTTTGAACACCTCCTGGTGTATTCCTCGTCTTGGTCTTTCAAACCATCACTACAAAGAATGAATAGGAGATAGCCCCGCTGATGTGGAGGGGTTTTCACAAGTTATTGCTGTGTGAGAATGACAAGACACAAATAGAGCGTGTGACATGATGTCAGCGTGGGCATCACGACCTCAAGGCCATTCCAGTCTCACTCCCCCCATGTGTGCACGTGTACCTGTATTAGTTTATGATTATATGACCATGGGGAGATAAGAATGGATGCACACTGAATTGTGGACACGAGTGTGGCAGGGAGGAAGGAGGACCTGGCAGAAAAGTAAAAGGGAATATGATGTGGTCACATGCTGTTGTAGTGACATCTTGTATGAGTGTGTAAGAAAGCTTTATTTAAAAAAAAATTTAATTTAACTTTGTTTGTTTGTTTATTTTAATTTGACCAGAGAGAGAGAGAAAGTA